GTCTGAAATTTTAATGTGTGTTCGGTTTTTTGTTTTCAAATTGTTTTTAGTTTTCAATTTTTCAAAACATCCAAAATCTGTTTAATCTAGTATTTTCGAAAATTATGTTAAACTTATAACGTAAAATTTAGAACACGTTTTTGACATTTTGATAGGAAATAAGAGTTCAAATAAATTTTATTTACATAAAATTATAAATTTGAAAATTCTAAAATATATATATATAATCCCAATAAAAATTTTAAAAAATAAAAAAATGATAAATTTTAAAAAGTAAAAAAAAAAATCTAAAAATTATAAAAAGATAAATTGTAAAATTATATATAAAAAAATTCTAAAATAATAAAAATTTCTGAATTTTTTTTTTTTAAAATTAAAATAGTTCAAGCTGTTAATGAATTTTACATAAAAAAATAAAAATAAAATTAATGAACACAAATAAAATATTCAGTGCTCATCATAAATTTTTAATTCTTATGTTTTGTCAACTCGATTTATTATTTGTTTATATTTTACTTTCGTAGGGAAAAAATATTATAATATTTACCAACTTTAAAATGTATATTACTTGATAGTATATTAACATACAATTATTCTATTTTATTGAATAGTCAAATTTTACGGACTAAAATGTAATAAAATAATTTTTCAAAATTTCAAACCAATGTATTTTCTAGTTTTTCCATTTTGAGAAATATTTTTTTAATAATCTTAAAACATGCCTTCAAAAAAAATTAAAAATGAACTCAAAACTTAAAATTGAAACACAAATCAAACGGACCCCTTAGCCTCCTAATTTTCATCTTGCAAAATGTTCGATGTCTTTATACTGAAGAATTTGAGAGAATAATATTGAAACTGAATATTGCGTAAAGAAATTTGAAAGATTGATATGGATTTGTAAAAATTTTCTCGTATTTATAGACAAAAAAATATATCCGTTTTAACTATATTTAACATAAAAATTTAAATTATGACAAGACAACTCCTGAAAAAAATTAAGGTGCATGCAACCGCTATTTTTTGCACTGGGGCATGCATTGGGACAACTACAAATTGTAGTCAAAATGGGGCTCGGCTCGGGCTTTTTCCGAGCCGAGCCCGAACCGTGCGAGCCTCCGAGCTTTTTTGCCACCGCTACCTTTATGTCATGGTGTATGATTTGACGTTCAACACCACTATGAAGACAGTTTAGTCATCGACCAACCTCAATGCATTTTAGGCACTGCTTCCAATCAAGACAAGATGGCAATCACTCTCACCATCAAATCCAAAGAGGTCGTTAGCCAATGTGCCTCCAAGACGATTCTCATAGAGAAGTATCATTCTTGTCACTCGTTGCAATATCCAATAACAAAAAAAGATACGTCAAAGTTTTGAAAGAGTTCCAATCTCAATATTCTAAAACTCATGTGCCCCTTGCTTGGAATCAGATTTTGACTACTTAATAGATACAATTGTCCTTTGTAGACTTTAACTAATCCATCCTTTTCGATAACAAGTGCATATTTATAGTTCTCAGTTGTTGATTGTATCTTAGCAAGCCAAAAAGGATGAAATGGTCGTCACTTAAGGCCGATGTCTCACTAGAGTTCGCTCATACTTGGCACAACCTATAAGTAATGATGTTGGCTAGTGATATTATAATTACCGCACCAGTTTCAATTGCATTTCTATGAACAATTGTTGATAGTAAATTTAGCATAGCCAAAGCCACGAATAATGAACCTCGTGTAGAGACGTGACACTTCAATACAAATTACATTGTACAATATCGACTTATTCACCAATTAATTGATGCGTTAGTGTCATTGTTGATTAGAATAAGTTGAAGCAATGGTGTTTAGCAAACCATTTTACATAGTACTATTTGGCAAGATTGGTATTTGGCTTATTTTGGGATCCCAAAAGAGTTGGCGGTTCAAACTATATGAAGCTAAATGTTCATGTACATAAAAGCTGGGGGCATGGGGGTACATTATTGATTTTATTTTTTCATTTTTCTTTCTCTATTCTCCTCATAGACGATCTATTCAGAGCACTATATATACTTTTAACAGGCAATTAGGGTTTGTATTTCCGCCGCTCTGCTCCCACAGCACTTTCGCTCAAAACCGTCAACGGTGGAAAGCTTCGTCTACCAGGATTCAAGATGGTAAGCCTCTCTAAATCTATCTCTTTCTATATCTTTGTGTATATTTTCAATGAAGTTTTTTATACTGTTATCTAATTTAGGTTTTTTTTTTCCGTGTGATTTTGTATGTCTAGCCGTCGCACAAGACATTTATGATCAAGAAGAAGCTTGCGAAGAAGCAGAGGCAGAATAGGCCAATCCCGTACTGGATCCGCCTCCGCACCGACAACACCATCCGCTACAATGCCAAGCGCCGCCACTGGCGCCGTACCAAGCTCGGATTCTAAACATTCCCTTTCAGGCTTTTGATTTCTATTAGACAATGTTACGATGGAAGACTTATTATGGGTTTTATTATTGAGATTTTGCCCTTGAATTGAAATTTGAAGTTAGTTTACGGTCTTGATAATTGGTTCAATTTTCATTCTTCCACCTTCAATTTTGGATACTTAATGTGATTTTAACTCTTCGAATGGTTGATTAATTCCATGATTATCTGTGATTTCAACCTCAAGGGCATGCGTTGGAGTATAGGCATATACCTGTCGTTTCTTAAAGTATCAGTTTTGAACGCAGTGAGCTGAGTGATTTTAGTAGCTTCAAAAAATAAAATTACACATTCTTTCATCCACTGCATAAATTGCAACAAGCTAAACATTCAATTAAATGAACAAAATAAGAAATCTCATATTCAGAATAGCTGGCTTGAATTACAGCAAAAACACATCTCGAAATACAGATCTGCAGCTATAAAGAAGAAAACAAATTCTTTATTTTCTAATAAATCAAAAGAAAAATAATAATAATTTAGACAATCACAAATTGGTGCCTAAGCCTGTAGATTACAGCTGAGAAAATTGAATCGGATTGGGGAAAACAAATTTCATATTTCGTTGAAACTGCATAATTCCAATTTAAATTTTCAGATTTTATTGAGACTACATAATTCCAATTTAAGCATAGAAAATCGGAAGAAATATAGCGGGTTAAAATCAGATTTTCAGTAAATTTTGATTTTAAAAAGCGGTGAACCCATAAAATATGTGGTTAAAATTAATTGTTGACCTTGATTTAGATTAAAATATGAATGACGTATAAGATCATTTTTCAGTGGTAGATTTGGTAATAATTATTTAATAGAGGGTAAAATTGAGAAAGTATTTGAGAAATGATCAAAACTTGTCGATTTGGTAGGTTGAAATAAATGAAAAATTTGCGCAAGTTTCGATTGTTTCAACCGCTCGTAAACGGTGCCACCCAAAATCGATCAAAATCGGTGAGAAAACTCCCTAACAGGCCCTTAGTTGCTTGGATTTTTAGGTATGGTGCTTTTACTTACGTTAGGTGTGTAAAAAAGTATACTTAAGTTGATAATCTTGTTATGGTATTCTATCAAAATTTAAGATCTTTGCTCAATATATACAACCTGAAATTTGACATGTTTTGGGTAGGGACTGGGGAGCAAACTTTCATATGGAAGCTCTCAGCTCTTCTAACCGTTTTCATGTGAAGAAATTTTGAGAGAAAATTTGTTTCATTGATAAGTCCAATCAGAATATAAAATTCATTTAATTATGTTTATTATTTGTGTTACTCAATGTTACCTAAACGGATGCGTTTAACAATGTTGATGATTAATAACAGTACTCTTTCATAAGTTCGAAAATTAAGAAAAGCAAAATTAACTAAGAGTTATGTCATTACACCAACGTAAGCACCAACATGGAAGCAAATGTCACATAAGCCCCCAACTGTAAGGGTGAATAAAGGACTGCACACCCAATATCTTTCTCCACAAGTGTTCTTCTCTTATAAGTCCTCGTTTCACGCATTAAAGTGAGTTTTTTTTTTTTCGAAAAAAATGAGTTTTGTAATATTATTATTTTTATAATGTGTGATCCAAAGATAAGAAAAAATTTTAAGTTTACGTGCAAAATATTTTATTATAAAAATGTATGGTTGAAAATAAATTTAACAAAAAAGAATTTTATTTTAATGATTGTCAAAGAGGGGCTAAGTGTAGCCACACAATAAAAGGAAAATGTAAACTTTGGTCAAATCTTTGATTGCTTGACTCTCGTGTGTAAACTTTGGTCAAATCTTGACTCTCGTGTGTAAACTTTGGTCAAATCTTTGATTGCTTGACTCTCGTGTATTGAAGAAAATGAGTTTTGAAATAGTGAATTTTTTGGAGAATGTATTGTTTAAAGTAAGAAATTTTTTTTGAGTTTACTTGTAAAACATTTTATCGTGTGAATATTATAGTTGAAAATAAATTTGGGAAAAAAGGAGAGAGTTAAGAGTATGTTTGATTGTGATGAAAAATATCTCCTAGAAAAAAAATGTTATCCTTGTTTAAACAAAAACCTACTCCCAAAGAAAATATTTTTCTTAAAAATAAGGAAAACTAAAATATTTTCAAAAATTGAAAAATATTTTCAATGGAAAAAATATTTGAATTTGATTTAAACACTCCAAATTGATATTTTTCATGAAAAATAAAGCAATCAAACACACCAGAGGAAAAGACAATTAATTACAAATGGAACCAATAAAAGTCGTTCATTCAAGCAGGCTATTATCTCAAACATTTGTCTATTTTGGTCCAAAGTTTTAAATATTAAAGAATTTGTCGCAAGCCTTAGCATTCTCGAAGCAATTGGTCCTCCAAAATTGTTTTTGCGAGTGCAATGTAATTTTTGTTTTTGTTTTAAGGGGAAAATTTGTCAATTTTTTTTTAAATAAAAATAAAAGATAATCAATTTCGGACTGAGTTCATCCAAAAGGACTGATTATACCATAAATGCCAAGGTTTGAAATTTATGTCAAGATTTAAAGATTTGGACAAAAAACGTAAGATTAGCAAACTATGGGACTATTTGTGCCAATTTCCATACTAAAAAGTAAAAAACTGTTTTCAGAAAAAATAAAAATAGAAAGTGAAAACCTAGTTCGGTTTCGTTTAGAAACCTGGCGGCACTGTACAATAGAATAGCAGCGCCAAACTCTCCGGCGCTACGCCTCTCCTGATAAGCGCCTACTCTCCGGCCCTCTTCGCATTCACCGGCCGTGAGAATGTGATACCTATACAGATATATATAGAGCTGAGCACATCAATTTCTAGGGATTCAACGTTCGAGAATTTGTTTTCTCCTTTGGGTTTTTTGGGACAGAATATTCATCGGTTTTTATTGGTAAGGAGAAGAATTCACTTTCTCTGCTCGATTTTCTTTTTATAGCATATTTGTATATGTAGGGATTTGTTGATGGATGTTTATGTCTAATTTCTATATTTTCTTATCCACTATTTTTGTTACGTTGACTGTAGGTTTAATAGATAGGTTGTTTTGCCTATGAATTTGGTATCTTAGTGACTGCATACTGTATTTATGTGCTTTGGATTGTTTTTAATTGGATATGATTAAAATAAAGGTGATACTTAAATAAGTGGTGCTGTGAATTAAATTTCTAGTTGTGATTTGTTTGATTTCTGGAAGAAATTACCAAATACTCATGGCCTCCAATAATCTTGCAAGCCGTTCAAGTGACTTAATCCTGACTGTTCATGACATTTATATATCTTGGGACCTACTTGGTCACGCACGTGGAAGGGTGGCACTCATGCCCCAGGAGCTTCACGTGCATGTAGCGTTCCTCATTCAAGAATATACAAACTTGTAGGAATTAAGCAACAAAGATGAACGGAGAATTTAAGTTCTGAACTCTGTATAGCAGGTCGCAGTCTTCCTCAGTTTCAGACCGTTTGAATGTATGAAATTATGAAGGACAGGAAAAGAAAAAGAAATGTCAGTAAAAATGGATTGTTACACCTTTCTTACTTGACAAAGTAAGTGGCATATTTAAAAATTAGAACTTGTAAATGTAGTTGAACATCTTGAAAAAAAATTGAAAGTTTGAAATGATTTTCACAAGTGTGCATGTGCATGCATTTACTTGTGATTTCGTTTAGAATTGAACATGGGAAAAGGTTTTCCTTAGTGCTTCCCTCACTTGAGTCCAGTATCCGAGCAAAGTCTAATAGTTTCCTGAGGAACTGAATGGGATATATTACGAATAAATTGCATGAAACTAATGCTTGTGGTATTTCTCTTTGTATTTCCTTTGGAATACCGTTTTCTAGCCCAAAGAGGGACATCAGTAAATGGCATATAAGAGACTAACTTGTTTAAATTGTCGTGAACTTATTATTTTAATCCTGATCCGCCAAAAATTGATGGGTGTCATTTTCAGTAATGAATAAGACAACGAACTTCTGGGCCTTTACCGTCGCTTAGTTCTCGCTAGTTGATCATTCTCATTTACTAAAATAGAATATGGATCAACATAAATGTTGCTTAGATCTGTGCTTTAGTAAAATTTTTGAAATTTCTGCTATTTTTTTGGTTCTTTAATAAAATGTTTTTTGATGCCCCTGTACCCATGTTCATTATTTTGTTTGTGTAACTTCACTAGATAATGTAAAAAGTTTACTGGGTATGCCAAATCTCATTTTTCTTTCCCACCTTACCATTTGCTTTGTTTCTGTTGCTTATTATTCTGGTTTGACACAGAAAGTTAGGTCAAGGAATGTGAATGCTTCAGAAAAGGCAAAGTTGGAGACCGTTTTGACGTAAACTTCAGTGGAATGAATATCAAGAATAGTTGAGAACGATTTGAAGTAACATCTCGTGAAAGTAGTGCCAATTGTGCCATCAGGTATTGGTTATCATCTACCATGGATACAGACTCAATCCAAAATTCTGCTGGAGATTGTTTAATGAAGAATAAGAGGAGGAGGAGGAAGAAGGCTAACAAAGCAGGTGAACTGCTGAACATGAATCAGATGGATGGTAATTTGGAAGTTCCTGATATTGGCAAAATTTGTACTGCAACCATTAGTGATTTTCAAAATAATCTTATGGAGTTAGATTCAACTGCACGATCACAATCACAGGCTGAACAATCTAAAATGGTCACGAAGCCAATTGAACTTCGTGCAGGATGGACAGTGCTGAGAAAAAAGGAAAGGAGAGAACAGAAGAAAAAGGAGGCTAAAATTGAAGGTGAACTTCAAAGTGTTGGTCAGATGGATGATCATTTGGGAGTTCCCACCAATGGCAAACTTTGTAATGATTTGCAGAATAAACTTATTGAGTTAGATTCAACTGCACAATGGCATGTGGAACAATCTAAAATGGATACAAGGTCAACTGAAAATATTATAGAAGGGACAGTGCTGAGCAAAAGCAAAAAGAGAAAACAGAAGAAAAAGAAGGCTATAAATGAAGGTCAACTTCGAAGCGTGGATCAGATGGATGATCATGACATTGGAAAAATTTGTACTGGAGCCAATAGTGACTTGCAGAATAATATTACTGAGTTGGATTCAACTGCACGATCGCACATGGAACATTCTAAAATGGATACAGGGTCAATTGAAAGTATTTCAGAACGGACAGTGCAGAGGAAAAAGAGAAAGAGAAAACAGAAGAAAAAGATTGCTAAAAATGAAGATGAACTTCAAAGCGTGGATCAGATGGATGATCATTACATTGGAAAAATTTATACTGGAGCCAGTAGTGACTTGCAGAATAATATTATTGAGTTAGATTCAACTGCACAATCTCACATGGAACAATCCCAAATGGATACAATGTCAATTGAAAATATTTTAGAAGGGACAGTGCAGAGGAAAAAGAGTAAGAGAAAACAAAAGAAAAAGAATGCTAAAAATGAAGGTGAACTTCAAAGCGTGGATCAGATGAATGGTCATTTGGAAGTTCCAGCCGTTGGCAAACTTTGTATTGTAGCCAACAATGATTTGCAGAATAATCTTATAGAGTTAGATTCAACTGCACAATGGCACGTCGAACAATGTAAAATGGATACAAGGTCAACTGAAAATATTTCAGAAGGGACAGTGCAGAGGAAAAAGAGAGAGAAAAAACAGAAGAAAAAGAAGGCTAAAAATGAAGGTGAACTTCAAAGCGTCGATCAGATGGATGATCATTCGAAAGTTCCCGTCCTTGGCAATTTTTTTACTGTAGCCAATAATTTGCAGAATAATCTTATTGAGTTAGATTCAACTGCACAATTGCACGTGGAACAATCTAAAACAGATACAAGGTCAACTGAAATTATTACAGAAGGGACAGTGGTTAGCAAAAACAGAAAGAGAAAACAGAAGAAAAAGAAGGCTAAGAATGAAGGTGAACTTCAAAGCATGGAGCAGATGGATGATCATGACATTGGAAAAATTTGTACTGGAGCCAATAATGACTTGCAGAATAATATTATTGAGTTAGATTCAACTGCACAATCGCACGTGGAACAATCTAAAATGGATACAAGGGAAACTGAAATTATTACAGAAGGGACAGTGCAGAGAAAAAAGAGAGAGAAAAAACAGAAGAAAAAGAAAGCTAAAAATGAAGGTGAACTTCAAAGTGTAGATCAGATGGGTGATCATTTGGAAGTTCCGGCCGTTGGCAAACTTTGTATTTTAGCCAATAATGATTTGCAGAATAATCTTATTGAGTTAGATTCAACTGCAAAATGGTGCGTGGAACAATCTAAAATGGATACAAGGTCTACTGAAAATATTACAGACGGGTCAGTGCAGAGGAAAAAGAGAAAGAAAAAACAGAAGGAAAAGGTGGCTAAAAAGGAAGGTGAACTTCAAAGCGTCGATCAAATGGATGATCATTGGGAAGATCCCGCCCTTGGAAAACTTGTTATTGTAGCCAATAATGATTTGCAGAATAATCTTATTGAGTTAGATTCAACTGCACAATTGCACGCTGAAGAGTCTACAATGGGTACAAAGTCAACTGAAAATCTTTCAGAAGGGATAGCACGGAGGAAAAGGAGATGGAGAAAACAAAACGAAAAGAGGGTTAATACTAAAGATGAACTTCAAAGTGCAGATATTATGTCAAATCTGAACTTGCCAGATGTAAGTCATGGAATAGGGAATGGCAGTAAGCTAATTACAAATGAGAGCACTACCTCTTTATTGCATTTGGTGCATGATACAATGAGACCTGTTGGCTTAAATAAAAACAAGAATTCCTTGGCACCAGTTGACTTTGATTCAAAATCTTATTCTAAATTCCCTGAGCTGGGACCTGCACCTATGGAAAGGCCAAGGGAGATGGAAGTTGAAAGGTTTTCTTGTGAAAGCCAACATTTACCTCTTACTCATGAGATGTCTAGTAAAAATGAGAAAATCGAGAACAAAGAAGAAAATATTGTTTATCAGGGTAAAGATTCAGCTGCATGCTCTTCCTGTGACGTGGAGGTGACCAAGCATATCTCTTCTCCTATTTTGAAGGAAGAAGATCACTTATCAAATGATTCATTTCTAGGAATAGCACCAGTTGCTTTTGTCAGGAGAAAACTTCTTGTCCTAGATGTAAATGGTCTACTTGCAGACATCGTAATGCCAGCACCTAAAGACCGTATAGCGGACACACGTATCTTGGGACGGGCTGGTGAGAAAAAAATATTGCTCATTGTTGTGAAGCAACTTTTGATTTAACCTCGTGCAAATATTAGGATGCTAAATTAGTGATTAAAATCTAACCTGCTATAACTTTCCTCTTCTAGTTTTCAGGAGACCTTACTGCAATGATTTTCTGAAGTTTTGCTTTGAGAACTTTGATGTCGCCATATGGTCATCAAGATCCAAGTATACTTCGAAATTTGTGCTTTTCTTTTTCCTTTTTTATATTACATTATGGCTGGATTTTGTTTTCTATTTTCTAGGAGTAAGCAGATTCTGAAAGAAATATTAGAACTCTCTTCTATACCAGTTCTACTATTGGGTGTTTATTATTCTCCATAAATTTTGTTGCACTAACCTTAGCTATTTACTTGACGTGCAGGAAAGTTATTGATAATGTTGTCAATTATTTATTGGGAGACCTACGACACAAGTTGCTATTTTGTTGGGTAATCTTCTCCACAATCATCAAAATAATGGATGTACATCCAAAATTATATATTTTTCAACCTAATAGGTTGTTCCGTCTTTAGTAATCTTATTAATCAGTTCTTGTTTAAAGACAATTAATACCATCATTCATCTCTTCCTATCATTTTTATCACGTGCCTTTATCGTACACGTCATTATGGAAAGTGATGCAAGAATTTAAGTCAAGTGATAGATCATAATTACAAACTTCTATTGTTGGGACATTAACCCTTTAGTTCTGTTCAAAAACCTCGTCCGAGAACTTGTATAGAGAAGGATTTCCCGCTGCGCAGCAGTTCTTCCATGCCAACTTAGCTGCCCGGCGGGATGCTAAAATGACGGGTAATAGAAATACCACAAAGTACATGTGATCACTAGTAAAGTGACACTGTTGTCATTTCATTTACAGCATGCAGGCTACATTCTACAGCATGCGAATAATTGGAATGTTCATTTTATTGAGCAATCTGAATGTTCTGGTGAGAGGTTATTCGACTCATATAGGTGTTGGAAGTTTGTTACCTCATGCAGTTGAATGTACCCGACATTGCTCGCTCATATTTGTTTAATTTACACTTTGATTTAGCTTAAGCACTTTCTGAAAACAATGTTATGCAGGATATGTCACATAGTACTCAAACAAGGTTCAATACTCTTGAAAACAAGCATAAACCCTTGGTCATGAAGGAGCTAAAGAAAATTTGGGAAAAATATGATCCTAGACTTCCTTGGGAGAAGGGATATTATAATGAATCGAACACATTGTTGTTGGACGATTCTCCTTACAAGGCCCTTCTCAATCCTGTAAGCTTTTCACCACTTGTTTCCTATCAGGTCCTTCTAGTTTCCCTGTTTCTATTAGTTAAAGTATATGTCCTAATTCTTAGTTTATGGTTTGTGCTTGTTTTAGCTGCACACTGCAATATTTCCATATTCATACAATTACAAGGATAAAAGTGACAATTCGCTTGGTGAGATTCTTTTCCTCTCATGTGTGGCTTTTTTATTATTGTATTCTGTTTGGAGTCTGTCATTGACAAGGAAGGCCAGTTTAATTTCTCTGGAATCTGGCCAAACCTCAAGAGTAGAATACAGGTAGGTGCACTTAAGCCCCTGTTTGTCTACCATTTTTCAAAAAATTGTTTTCTACAGTAATCAATCTCTACCACACATTCAAATAATAAAATATTCTACACATAAACCGATGAAATTTCTTCACTTTCAATCACATATTTTCCAAAAAATACTATTCATTACACCATTTTCTTCTCAATAATGGCTGACAAATAGACGCTAAATAGAGTTCAATTTAGTATAAAGAGTTCATCATGGTAAATTCATTTACATATGCAGGACACATAATGGCCATTTTTAGTGAAAAATAAATCAAGGATTAGAATTTGGTTTTGGAACATATTGAAAAGCTTCTTGAGAATTAAATTTTGGATACATAAACTCCGCCAAAGTTTTTAATCTATGAAAATTTCAGTCCCCAAGTCTATACAAGTTGAAATTGGTTGAAGGCTCCAAATAAACAGAAAGAAAAAACTGGATGCTTTCGATTCACGAAAAATGGTTTTTTTCACCACAAAACCTTCTGTTACTTTCTCCATGTCACCAAAAAATTGCCCCGAGGTACCATCCAACAGTCTGCTTGCAAAATGATTGCATGATTATCCTATGTATTGAGATCTTACACAGCCCATTTATTTGTTGTGCCGAGCAGTCCCTGTTAATGACATGGCTCCACTTTTTGGTTTTTAGTGCTCATGGAATATTTATATTACATTTGTGGTTGATAAAATAAAATTACACCTACGGAAATTAAAGCTTCTTTTACTTAATGCTTTGGCTAGGTTTCATGTTTCAAGATGTGAAATTAGATATCTTTAACGGATAGCCAAGTTCTGAAAGAAGCCTTAGTGTGCAATGAGGATGGCAACATACAGCTCAAAATTGCTGTTTTAACTCTTGCTGAATTTTTTCATCACTTCCTTTGCTCCATCTTTTTTATTTTATATTGCATTTTTGCACGTTATTTGTATTGCCCCATTTTTTGAGTTTGTCACAATGAAGATTTTGCCTTTATAATAAACTCGTATTCATCACAGGTCCTGGAGGTAATCTTCGAGTTTATTTGGAAGATATGTTAAAGTGTGACAATGTAAAGAAATATGTCGAGCAACATCCGTTCGGTCAAGGTGCTATAGATGAGACAAATATTTATTGGAGCTTCTACTCCAGAGTTCTCGAGAGTGTATCGGCTAAATCTTTCTAGAGACTGCTTCCTGTTGCCAGCTTGCACGTGGGATCCATGAAACTGAGGAGCATTAGTGTTTTCCTTTTGGTCCTGTCTTTAACATGGGGGAAGGTGGAAACAGCAGAAGCATGTAGATGAGGCAATGACAACTATAAAGAATGACACAGTTGCACAAAGTTACATCATACACAATCTAATGTAATTCTCGTTCTTCAAAGTTGGACTTAAGACTGACAAGTAGAAACTTTGCTGAGGGTGAGTGGAGTAGTATTCCCCATTCTTTTTGAATTTTTTGATCTAATGTATTTGTAGTTCTGGGCCAGGAGATGAATTTAAAAGATCTTATGGTCATTGGTGAGTGTATTTGTCATTTTTGAAACTTTGAAATGGTTGTGTTGTTCACTATAGCGAACTGATTCAGCTGGTTGATGACAATGTCTTTACTGATGATGAAATAATGTTCTCGATTGAATAAAGAATCATGACCATCACTTAATGGCGTGGTAGGTCACATTGATTGAAAAATATTAAATTTGAAAAAAAGAGTTAAAATTATATCTATTAATACTCGTATTTATTTTTGTTGACCTTGAAAAATGAGTTAATAGAAATTCAGGTCTTACTCGCTTCACGTAAGTAGAAATCAAGCCCCATGTAAGAGGAATTACTTTTTGAGATGCGAGCCAACAAAGTGTTTGAGCTCCGGGAGTGAATCATCGCTACAATGAGATGAAATATTGCTAGATCAACTTCCAGCAAGGGAGGAATATTGCATACGAAAAGCTAGAAAGAGAAGTTAAGCTTTTAGTATTTAAAATTGCATTAGCCTTAAAATGAAACAAAGAGGGGGTATTCATAACATTATAATTGAAGCTATGACCATTGGATGAAGCACATGTGGCTTCATCCGACCCACTGGAATGTCCCAAAACAGATTTCCCACCACCCAGTTGTCCCAAGTAGCACTTGAGTATCTAGGAAAGGGGGAGCTACCCTACGGTGTGTTGGTACTCTTGGAGAATGGGATGATAGGATTTGACTTGTTTAGGCTGTAGGTTGTCACATCAATCTCATTCACCAAATCCTCAAAAGAGCTGGGGAGCCTTCATTGGTCCGAAGTCCTTAGAAGCTAAGAGCTTCGGATGACATGGCTTGGGCGAGGGTTTTCGTCATTGTACGTGTGCTTCAGTCATTGTGCATTGTCACAACAGCTCCACGTGGAACACTACGTGGCCATCGTTTGAGCCTCGTTGGCGAGACGTAACATTATTTGTAATAAAGATGGCATAATCACTCCTTTTATGTAGCTTTTATGGGGAGAGTCATTCACTCATGCCTCTCTAAAGAGCTCTTAATTCACACATAGGTTGTTCATGATGTTGATGCAATCTATTCATTTGAGTGATTAATGCGACGTTCTAGTCAAAATGAAATTGTTTTTCATGGTATTTGTTGAGGCAAATGCAAAGATTAACTGGGGATATGAAATATATTAGCAGGAGCGTGCCTAAGCCCAGACTTCCATTAAATTTTAATTTATTTTTCTCTCTTCTCTTATCAACCACTTTCAATAAAATAATATTACACATAAATCTCAAAATTCTCCTTATTTTTTAATCACACATTCTTCAAAAAACACTATTTCTAAATCAATTTTTTTCAAATAATGGAGCTCAAACAAGGGCTAAATTATTTAACTCTCAATTATTTAAGTTTTGAATAGATAAACCATCAAATCGATTGATAGAATAAAAGCTTTTTCTCATAATTATACGAGTGTAATAATGGGTTGGGCAGTTTGAATCGATCCACGGCATAGAACTGACAACTTTCTTTAAGGCTGATGGTCAATCAGCTCTTAATTCAAATTCAAATTCAAATTCAAATTATTATCATTATTATTATTAATTTTGTAAGAGCTTTGCTTCTTGTACAGAATCAGAGCGGCAAGAAAATGGCCACACTTATTTTCTGGCCAATTTATGTGGCCAATAATTCTGTACAAATAGAATTATTGATTTTGTAATATTAACACAGGCTCGATGGCACGACGGTAACTGTCATCTTTGATCATTTAAATTGGACTGATCTAAAGTTTTCCGTTAGTGGCCCGTGGATCGGTCCACTCAAATTATGAGCCATGTTTGAACGGGCCAAACATAACCCGTCCAATTTTACACCACTATATTTGTAGGTCAATAGGTTGGTCGTATTATAAGATTTGAAAGATAAAACGAGATATGCAAGAGCCATATTTTAAGATTCTATTACACATTTGCATTGACATAAATGTAGGCAGCCCCTTCCAAATGCCTACCCTTTTTGACACCCGAAGCACGAGAGAATTCAATAATGTTATTTGATTAGAAGAGCATCCTAACATTTCAAGAGTAATACTATTTAACATCATTAATATCAATTTACGTAGCATTCAAGTATCATTAATTGATCGATCATCTTAAAAGTAAGAAGACGAGCCATAATTTAAGACGACCAATTACTTGAAAACACGTAGATTGATGTTAAGTATCATTATTTAACATTTTAAAATCTTGTTATAAGATTTAGGGTCGTGCTATTCGTACACGGGCGTTTACACGCTCGTGTACCCGGCCCCACGCCCCCCACACA